TTACACCGACGTCCATGAGATACTCGATATAGTCTTCCATCGAACGCAAGCATAAATCTCGCAATTGGTCTTCCATGACATAAGCAAGGCAATTGAAGAACCTATTGTATTGCGGATTATCTGTCGATGGCAAATTTCCCTTTTTTGAAGCCTGAACATGGAAATATCGACAACAACCAGACACAAATTAATATTTGTATCAATAAAATATATTTTCTGCCGCTTGAACTACAAAATAAATTTCTTACTGCGAGTAAAATGTTACAGATTTTCGGCAGCCATCGTTTGAGAAGATCATCACTCGTGTCTTTGAGGATTTTTAAGAATATGTTATCAAATTTTGAAAGATCGTACGATTTTCCGTACGATGTCAGCTGTCGCTTGTCCACTTGCTTGACCTTTCTACGAAAATTATCGTAACATTGAATCAGGAAATATTTCATATATATATATCTGATATCGCTTTAACTCACTAACCCGTATTCGCGATACCAATAATTCAAAGTTTTGCGTATGCACGGATGATACAGGATAATCGATTTTTTCTCCAATTTCGTTCTTATTTTCTGGTATTTGCAGCGCTCCGGCGAGTCGGCGATTTCTCGGGAGAACGACGGCTGCAACATGCACAATGTGTGATCGCAAAACGAAAGCAATCGAGTGTGAAAAGCGATTATCGACACGAAGGCGGTCGTGTCGCCCGAAAAATGTTATGTTGCGCAATAAAAAAAAAAAAAAACATTTATCTGTTACGTGGGCGCCGTACTAACCGGAGCGCAAAGGCTGTACGCCTCCTCGAAGGGTTCCTGCAATACAAAGTCGACGATGGACTTTTTCATGTTCGTGACGTAGTCGCTTTTTAATTCCTGAATCAATCGGTCAAAACACTCGCTGTGTCTCTCCTGCCATTCAGCGGACACCATGCTCGTGATCTTCTTTAATGTGTCAGAATCTAAGGTGCCTGCGTGAGTGTCGTCAACCTCATGAAGAATGTAGTAGTAATACCTCAAGAGATTCTTGTCTTCCTCCGTGAGCCAAATGTCGGCGATATCGCCGACATCGCACGGAATTGCCGCTGTTTGTCCGCAAACATTGTCGTCGTCTAAAACCGTCCCCTCTTTTGCATAGCCGCTATAAATTTCCATCCTGTCCTCGCGCCGGCTTTCATCGCGTCTCGCCGGCCCTTTGATCTTCCTGATCAGATGCATTCGAAATTCAGCTCTCCGTCGACATAGCGACATGTAATAGTCGTCTTCGTGACAAGGAATTTTTTTATCCTTTTTCTTTGGGCCCCTTCAAATTTGTTTAATAAAATTTTATAAAATTTTATTTACAAAATCCGATATATTATTAATTTAAACGAATGGCATTAATGTGGAATACAATTAAAAGCGATAGTTTTCTTCATTTCTATTTTTTAAACTAATATTTTTTTCCAGTTAAAATTTTCAAATTTTCTGACTTTGTTATTTATGTATATTTGGTTAAAACAAATGGTGTATTGATACAAGATCAAAAAATTCCAAAATTTTATCTCTGACATGAGAAAAAAAAATGAATTTTAAAAATAGAAATAATCAAAAATACTTGATACTTTTAGTTGAACGTTAAGGTGTATAATGTTACACTTTGTAACAAATCAATGACATTTACTGGTAACTTACCTCGACAAAGTTTCGCATTTTGGTGGTAAATTGAAAAAACTCGGTTTGTCCGTATATTTTTTTAACCGATCATATGCCCTCTGATACATGTGGTAACTTTTGAAGAGCTTGGTATTTGGACAATACGTATCTGAAGTGGACTTCATCCAATCGCAATGCTTTTTATGTGATTTTTTGACGAGTGATTCCTTGCTTCGCTTCATCAATTCCGTACACGGTTCCGATTTGTAAATATCGATTTCTTTGTCGCTTTTATCTCGTTCCACGATTTCTTCTTCTCTCTGAGTGCTATCTTTCTCTCGTACACAATACTTTTCCATCGTAATCAAATTTTTATATTTCTTTTATCGGAATCGTTATGATGATATAAGTTGAAGAACGTTACGCATATCGGTAATATAATGAAAAAAATCATAAAACAGATTGTAAAAGAGATAGTCACTCAACCTCTCTTCTTTCTACAGTTACAACTTATCGCTTTCCGTTTTCTGCTTTGCAAGGGTCGCGTTACCATAGCAGTCACGATAACATGGATACATGTTACGTCAATCGTAACACAACCCTTGATATTTTTATTGAATTGTATAATACTACATACAACGAGTATCGATAACGTGAGAAATAATCAGAAATAAATATTTGTGCGGAAACAAAGGTGTCTACTTTGGGAAATACATCATGAATAAATTGAGGATTGAGGAATATGCATACAAAAAAATGACAGATCGCTGT